GGAGGAAACACCTGGCAGGCTGCTGAGATAACTGCTCTAGCTCTCACTTTGTCTCTGGGTACCAGTTCTTAAAAGAAAGTCACTGCTCTATAAAGAATAAAGAAACTTCAGGGCTGCAGTGCAGCTGAGGTAGAATGCATGCAAAAGTCCTGGGCTTGGTTCCTGGCATGCTGAAAAACAAAAGAAACTCTAATTAGGCACTTCATCAAGGCTCTGACTTTACATTTAAGCAACTCAGTTCAGGTTAGCAAACATTTGAGGACCTGTGATAAACTCAAAACAACAGGAGGCTCTGGAGGTAGGGTTGAACAGTACATGGTCTCTGTTCGCAGGACTTGTCGTTGTCACTGTTCAGGCAACAAGAGGGACTGAGAGAGCACAGGCAAGCAGGAAGGAGCCAGATGAGGGGCTGAGAAGGACAGTCAAGGACAGCCCTGGGCAGGTGCAGTCTGGAGCCTGGGAGTAGGCAGGGCTGGGGAAAGTAGGGAGGCAGGAAGGTTACCAGGTGTGCACCCTGAGCTCCAGGGTGCTGAAGGCTGAGGAGAGGATCTGGTGTTACAAAACTACCTATTGTTCACAGATTAGAGCTCAATTAACCTGAACTTAGAGAGTGGGGAGAGTGAAGGCAGTAAAGGAGACCGGAACTCCTTCCTTTATGAGAAGCAGGAGCAAGCCACATGGGAACACTCACAAACGCCACAAAGCCTGGAAACCACTCCCCCCCCCCCCCCCCCCCGTAGGAGGAAGTGGACTGCTACTGGCATTGTTTGTGTTTCTAGACACAAAATGGAGGTGAGTAACATGGGAGACAGGAAGAAGAAAGGAGCCCTGTTTTCCTCACCTATGTCATGCAAGGCATCTCTGCAGAAAAAAATCGAAGCACAAATCAACAGCAGTTTTTCTCTAATAAAGAGCATGATTGCATAGCAGGAGTTAAGATGCCAGCTAGCTGCCTTGGGGAAAGTGCCAGCTTAGAGTTACACAGCAGTCTTGGGACATGAAGACAACGGCGGCACACAGGTAAGCAACACTCCTCTGTGAGTCTCCACAACAGGATCTAGTCCCCAACACTGCCCTTGCTCACCCAGCCACCAGGCTGCAGAATGCCTGTACCTGCAGCTACATTTCCATTTGTGCAGAAATGAAGAAGTGCTTGGCCAAGCCACCATCCTGCCTTAGCATCCTCACTTGAGCCAAATGTATCAGTGAGTGAAATTCAAACTCAGTGTTTACATGCTTCTACCATCCCCTTGTTTTCAGAGTAATGAGATTTTAGGAAGGCATTTCCAGCTGTAACTACTGAAGCACACAAGAATTATTTGCTGGCTTAGCCCTTCAGAAGAAAAATCATTTATTAATCTGTCCCTTTGTTTCCTGTCCAACACTCACCTTGAGATGTATTTGGTTTAACTACTAGAAGTAATGAAGCTTGTTTTAAAATATACAATTGGTAGACGCTAACTTTCATATGGATTGTGGAATCTGGCAGTCATACAGATCCCTGGTCCTTTTTGTGGCACTGGGGCTTGAACCCTAGGCTTCATATTTGCTAGACTCTACCACTTGAGCCACTCCACCAGCCCTGTTTTATGTTGGGTATTTCAAGACAGGGTCTAGTGAACTATCTGTCTGGCGCTGGCTTCGAACTTTGATCCTCCTGATCTCTGCCTCCTGAGTAGCTAGGATTATAGGCACAAGCTCCAACTCACTGCTGTATCTTGAGAACTTACCACAGTGCTTGGCAAATCACAGTGATGAAAGACGACAGGAGACCAGGGGGATGAGTTTGAATGAAAATGAAGCTGGAAAATATAGGAAATGATGAGCAGATACGAAGCTAGGAGGTCCAAAAACTGGTAACCAAGAATTCTTTCTTTTTAAATTATTGTTGAGCTGGGTGGGGGTACATTGTAGCATTTACAAATGTTCTTACAATGTATCAAATATATCATACTTGTATTCATCCCCTCCACTGCTTTTTCATCCCCCCTCCATAACAAAGAATTCTGAAAAGAAAATAGAAGAAAAGAATTAATCAATGAAAGTTCAAAATTCCATTATCTAGAGCTGAAGAGATAAGCAACATCATTGAAAGACTGCTGATCACCAAGCAGGATGGATCACCAAAGACCCACTCAGCCCCACCCCCTGTCACTTTAGACACTGCAGATAAGGACCTTGGTGACTGGGAGAAAAGGGAAGTACACAGCACGTATACAACAGGGTGACAGCTGCAAAGGCACGGGTTTGATTCGTGACAATGAATGCTTGAAGATACTGTAGCAAAGCCAAGTTCTGAAGGAAAATGATTTTGAATCCGTCATTTTATTCCAAGCCAGACAAGCCATCAAGTAAAGGTGCAAAGTACCAACACGCTCAGATACACTAAAGGACTCTGGACTAAGTGGCCTCCAGTGCTCCCTTCCTGGAAATGCACGCCAGCAGGAAGAGGATGAAAACCAACAAGGGAAGACAGGAGGCTCAGGAAAGTGTGGAATTAACCCATGGCCAATCAAAGCAAATCTCAGTACCTAGAAAGTAACCAGTCTAAATGACACTGGGGAATCTGTAAGCAGAATGTCCTCAGAGTAACAGAAGCAGAGTCCATGCAATGCAAAGAAAGAAAAAGCAGGTGCCATCAGGAAAGCTAGCACACTTACTCATTCAACAAGCAGTCAAACAAGGCAAAATGGGGGGCATAAAATAGGAAACATGGCATAATTCCAGCAATCAATGGAGGAGGCCACTTGTCTGGACTCTGGGAGCACTGTCCTTTGAGTGGTGAGCCTGGAAGTGTGGAGTGAAGGAAAGGCTATTGCCACACGGAGTGTGCCTCTGCAAGGGGTCCTATTTACAGGAGTCAGAGGAATCCCATCAGTGTGAACTGGTGCTCAGTTCTTAGAAGGCATCTATAGAGAACTGTGGCCAGGGATGGGGCACACATCATCCATCTTGATAACGTAAAAGCACAGGTGTAACAGAAGGAAGAGCTGGAAGTGGGAGGTCAAGGGATGAAGACAGAAGCACCTCATCTTCCAGAGTGGGAACCACGATGTGCTGTGAGAGATGAGCGAGTAAGGAGCAGAAGTTCAAGTAATGCATTCTTTCCACTGTTAATACTCAGGCACTGTTAGGCTTCTACAGGGCTATTAAAGCCTCTTAGAAAGAATATGCTCATTATAATAGTAAACTTGATTGACATTTTTAAGATTATTTTATCAAAATTGTAACTGCACATGCTTTAAAACTGGCTAGTCTAGGGCTGGAGGCATGGCTCAAGAGGCAGAGTGCCTGCCTAGCAAATGCAAAGCCCTGAGTCCAACCCCCAATACTGCCAAAAAAAAAAAAAAAAGGAAAAACTGGTTTAAAAGTGCTTGTAATGGAGGATCTTCAGTCTTGCTTCTCTCTACTCCAGCCCTGTTCTTCAAGTCACATTTAACTATTTCTTCTCTCAGATCATTTGTTGGTACTCTAGCATTTCTAATATTTTTAGCTATTATTTTTTGATTTTCAACTTCAGACATTCCCAGTGAACCCTCAACATAGTAGATGAGTGTTCAACTCCCTCCTTTCCCCAGCCCTGTTGTCGAGAGGACTATCACAGTTTTCATTCCTTTCCTGGTGGCTGCTATACCTTAGTAAACTACACTTCAACTTCTGCTTCTTACTTGCTCAGCTCTCAGTGCATCATGGTTCCCATTCTGGAAGATGAGGATATGATGAGCACTTTCGGCTCTTCCTTCTGGACCTGTGCTTTCATGTTATCAAGGTGGATGAAGTGCCTCACCCTCCACCATTTCTTTTAAATTTATACACTATCACTCATCTAATCTAATACATTTCCTCCCCACGTTGTCAATGAAGTCAGGGTGGATTCATTTCATTGGCAGGGTTTTTGTTAGTGGTACAGAAGTTATGGAGATGTCTGGCAGTCAATGGTGTACTTAGATTTGATGAAACAGGGTACGTACAGGTGTCTCAATGTTTTGTTACTTTATGAAATCACGCGTTGATATAGGCCTTTTTCTATACCATTACTCTTCCTCAATACACACTAGCTTCCTGAACACCTCAGGCCTTACCCTACTCTGGGAAACTCCTGCCCCTGTCCTCCCCTGCTCCTCCTATGGCAGATGCTTCAGGTCACATGGCCCCAGTTAATGTCACTTCCTTGGAGAAGCCTGTTGACCACCAAATCCAAGTCCGCTCTACCCCTAGTCATTGTTCCTATCACAGTTCACAGTATCGGTTTCACTGAAGTCCTTGCTGCTGAGCTGACCATCTCCTCTTTCCTCACTCAGCATTCACTCCAGGACGGGAGGCCTTGCCCATGCTGTTTGACACCATATCCCCAGCACCTGGGATGGAGCTGACACCAGTAGGTGTTCGAATATTTCTAGAATGAACACTTTAGAAAATAATGCTAAACTATGGACTTAATACCTAGTCAATACGTCACTGTTTCAAATTTATAAGCAACATTGCTTTCTTATTTTTCTATGGCAAAGAATCTCATAGGTATATGTAAATTATTTTGTAAGGCAAATCCATTTCTGATTGCGATCCAGTTAAATATAATTTTAGAAGTTTATAATTTTAGTATACTACCATATAGCAAGCATAACTTCTGCAGCATGAAATAATCCATACCGTCTCTTTTTTCATTCACACCATCATTAATTCATTTGCACACAAATTCTGAATCTAGTATTCTTGATCAGAACTCATCTCAAACATGTGGCAAATTAGGATCAACAAGGTGGTTTCAGAAATTCAAGTGTGTAATTACCTTTGACTTTTTAAAAGAAGAGAGCAGTGACCTCTCCCAAAGAAAAGATGAGGTTAAAAATTACTGTTCATATTTATAATGTTATTTCCTAATTCAAAGGATGAATTGAAATAAAGTTTGCCTGGTACCACAGAAGTCTGATCAGAACCATGAATAACTTGCTGTCAGTTCCTTTACTAATTGCATTCCACATGTGTTAATAAGAGGGCAAGATAAAAAGGCTAAAATCTTGAACAAGTGTATTTTTTTTTATTATTATTCAAAAAAGCCCATGATTCTTTAGGAGGTGATACAAGATTGGTTTTCAGGAGTAGACCATCTTATTCCCACAATCTCTGTAATAACCGTAAATTTGAAGGCTCTGCTCTCCCCACCCCAATTCACGTTTGGCACCTAAAACGTGACACATTCATTTCTGACAAATGGGGGGAAATGTGTTGACCAGCAGGCTTTGATCACAGGACTCTTTTCCCAGTGAGAAGGTTTGACTGCTGAATTAGGCTTGACTGCTATAGTAGGGTTAGTGCTGTCTCTCATCAGTACAAATCTTTTTCTAACCACCTACTAGTCTATAGCAGACAAGAATGCATTAGGAACAGCAGCAATTCTCAGAGGGAAGGGGACAATGGCTTATCTGTTCCCACATCTCATGTGAAATTAGAATTACCTAGCAAACCTGTAAGAGGTAGAAGAAGGTCTGGCACAGGCTCTGGCTTCATTATTTTAGGATACAAATGAACTCATCATACTTTTCAGAAGAATGTGTGGGACAATGAAAGAAAGAAAAAGAGGAGGTTTGCTCCACCTCTGCAGGCAGAGTGACCTGCTCAGGAAGACAGGGTGTGATTCACTGGTGCAAAGGGGCTGGCAACTAAGAGATACTTCACTCAAGGACTTGACAAAAATCTGATTAGAAAAACATGTCATCTGGGAAGTACACTCCTCTTGCATCTTGCCAGAAAGAGTTCCTACACAACAATCAGGATATGGCAGAGAAAAATAGCCAGAGTCAGCCAATATTTAAATCTGAAGAAAACAACTTACGACCTTGGGAATGACCTATTTGGCCCAATTCAAGGTTATCTTTCTAGCTATCCTTCTGATCCAGAATATTGCCAAGAAACTCATCTTTAAAAAATCCTGGAATTCGTCAGTGTTATTAGAGGTTTTTCGTGGTTTTCTTTTTTCCTTCGGTACTGGAGTTTGGTCTCGGGCTTGCTAGGCAGGCACTCTACTGCTTGAGCCAAGCCTCCAGACCTACTGCTAAACTGACAGGGTTGCGGGAAGGGGTTCTTACCCCAGACCCTCTTCCAAAACCTGGTAAGACACTTTTATTTCAAAGCAAAGATAGTAGGTAAGGTACACAACTAGGGACAAAATAAGATGCACAAAAATACTTCTTTTGAATCACCACTCGACTGTTCCCTCCTCTGGCCCTTCATGCCCAGTTAAGGGGGAAGAGGAAGCAGGGTGGGGGAGGCAGAAACGCCAAAGCTTCTGACAAGGTGGCCATTCCATTGCATGGACAAGGGCTGATTTCTTCTGCCAGCCACCAATTCACAAATATTTGTCCCCATTTAAAGAAGCACAGTGAATAAGATTAGGGAGAGCAGGACACAAAACCAGAAGTCAACTCCAGTCTGTCACCAGCCCAGTCCTATGTCTTTAGCGGCAATGGCCTTCATCTGCTGCCCTGGCCTTCACAGCAAGCAACACCTTTCTTTAAAACTTTTCTTGCTCTTGCTGCTTTTCTTGCCATTCTTGTCTTTGTTTTCTGACATCTTCTTTGCTCTGATTTCTCTCATTAGGTCAAAGAACACCTGGAAGAGGAGAGGAAGAGGGAAAAGAATATGGAGTCATTTAATGGGTGAGCATGAAACAGGGTGACTGAGCAGGATATGTAGTTACAGTTTATGCATAAAGACCCAAACTTAGTTTTACAAACCATGTACCATGTGCCAGCAAAAACAAAGCATCTAGAGCAAATAGGAATAATCAACCTTAAAACTGTATTCAAATCCTATGACAGAACACCTTGGATGTACCATACAACTGGCCTAGCTTAGGACAGAATCATGGCACTGTTACACTATCCTACAGCTAATCTCAAAGTATAAGATCTTTTCTTATAAGCATAATAAGGGTAAAATATGCTTTTGCAGAGAACAGATCTACAGTTGTCTGTGAAATTTACAGTGAGAGCGACAGTGGCATCAGACTTTTGAGCATTTCCAGCCACCATAAAGGAAAGAAGGACTGAGTACCCGTTGCTGGGTGCCTTGTTATTTATATACCACCACGTCTCATTTCATCCTTGAAAGGCCCCTACAGGGCTGGCATGTCATTATGCAGGTCAGTTTTCCCCACACACCACCACAAAGACAGACCTGGGAAGACGGTGGTAGGGAGAAGGAGGTCAGGGGGTCCCTCCACTGGGAAGAAGGAAGGGAATGAGATGTCCTGTTACAGCACCCTCCCCCCACACACCCATGCTGACTCTCATTCCTTGCGATGCTGAGGGGGCTTTATCAATGGGCCTTGGCCCTGAAATGGTGGGGTGTTATCCAGACTGGAATTATCGCCAGTCACAGTAGCTTGGGTTTTGCCCTGGGCTACTAGCAATCGTGCCAGAGGACTGATTAAACACAAGCAGACAAAATATGCCTCCTGCAGACACAGCAGAGATTCCCACAGAGTTAAAGTATGAAAGAGAACACAGGCTTTTATCTCTGGGCAATCCCACAAAACCAGCAGCTCCTATCTTTTATTTCTTATTTATTTTTTTACCTTCTTAGTGAAAAGCAAGATCATTTTTCTGGAGCATGGGACTCCATGTACACTGACCATGAGCCCCAGGCGCTGGCTTGGGAAGATCTCTTCACCCCTTTTGCCACCCTGCCTGTCCAGGAAACACAGGGCCATCAGAGCACAGTGAGTGGTCTAGATACGGCAGCTTTCTCTCTGCCCTGATAGCAAAAGGCAGAGGGAAGGGCATGGAATGTGTCCAAAGACAACAGTGACAGAGTTGTTCCCTGGCCCATCTCATCAACAATCTTCCTTGGCTAAACTGTTTACAAGTGAGTATAATGCTACCCATCATGAGTTTCTGTAGGTTCCTGTTTGTCAGGTCCAGCTGGTCCAGTGGAGGAGGGGAGGCGATGACTTGGATACCCCCACCCTCCTTGAGAAAAGACTCTTTGAGAGTTGACCCCTGTCCCATCAAAAACACACACCAAACCAGGCACCAGTGGTTCACGCCTGTAATCCCAGCTACTCAGGAGGCAGAGATCAGGAGGATTGAGATTCAAAGCCAGCCCGGGCAAATAGTTCGCAAGACACTATCTTGAAAAACTATCACAAAAAACGGCTGGTGGAGTGGCTCTGAGTTCAAACCCCTGTATGGCCAAAAAAAAAAAAAAAAAAAAAAAAAATCAGCAGTTTCATGCTGAGAAAGCCCTCCTTGTTTTTAAAAATTAAAAACAAAAGGCAGCTGACGGAGTGAAGTGCACCTCATGCTGAGGCCTAAATCACAGGAGGGCCACTGAGGTGACATCATACCCCAATGTCACCGTTCCTTCAGTGTCACTTCGAATGTCTCCCCCAACAGGTAGGAAGCGAAAGGTAATTAGTTCTCCAAAAGAGAGACAGAAGAAAAAGATCTGAGGGGTTAGGACACTGTTGCTGCTAGTGACAACACAGCACAGGCCTCTGTCTGCAGCTGCTCTGCTTTTATGCACAGGTTTCACAAGCCCAGGTCATAAAGCAAGAGCTGATGACCCAGGTGTAAGGAGAGTTCAGCTCAGCTATGAGGGGGCTTACTTTAGCTGCATGGCAACCAGCTTACACTCTGATTTAAAAGGGAGAAAAAGAGAGAGAGAGAGAGAGAGAGAGAGAGAGAGAGAGAAGCAAGAACTCTTAATAATAGCAATGCCTAGCAGGTGGATTTTTTTTTTCTTTTCTTTTTTTTAATTTTTATTTTATTCATATGTGCATACAATGTTTGGGTCATTTCTCCCCCTTCCCCCACCCCCTCCCTTACCACCCCCCTTTACCCCTTGCTACCCGGCAGAAACTATTTAGCAGGTGGATTTTCAAAATGTCAATAGTCAACATAGGTCTTAGGCAAAGCCACTCTTTCATTAACTTCAGAAATTTGAATGAGAATTGTGCCAGGGATGGGATAAGAGAGGGAAGAGAGATCCCAGAGAACTGATCCTGAAAGCAATCAGTTTTCTATTAGAAACTAAACTAGGAAGGCAGAACACCTGGCTATCAGTATTCAGTGAGGGGAAAGAATAAACCTGACAACTCAACAGAAGCAAGGCCGAGCAACGTATGCTTCCTTTAGCCAGTGGCTGAAGAAAGCACAGGGAAGCTGAAGACATGTGTCCTTCCAGCCATCTTCATAATCCACCACCTCGGGCCACACTCCCAGGGCTGTGCGACACTGAGCATCCTCTAACAAAGCATCAGGGCAAAGTGAAAGGCCTCCATGGGATTCTGTCAACACAGGGTCAACCTACCCAAGGCTTCCCCTTATCATGCCTTGGACACCTGCAGAAACCAAAGTCCTTGTCTAGTTCTCATAAATGGTTCCCTCAAAACCAAACAAATGAGAGATCTATGATGTGCTGCCTCTAAAGCCCATTTCCAAGAAACACCCAGGAGTGGGTGCAGCCTACCTTATCCACGTTGGCTCGTGTTTTAGCTGATGTCTCCACATACTGCACACCCCACTCTTCGGCTTTGCCCCTGGCCTCCTCGATGGGCACCTGCCTCCTCTCCTCCAAGTCGGACTTGTTCCCAACCACGAGCAATGGAATTCTGTCTTCTTCGGCCTTGACACGGAGGATCTGTTCCCTACAGGTGTTACAGCAAGAGTACAGCCACTAAAAAAACTACAACCAGAAGCTAGTCTCATCAACCAATCTAAAACAAAAGGCTCTCTTTCCTAAGGCAGAAGAAGAAATTGTGTCTTTAGGGCATGTGCCAGTGAAGCCTCCCTAGAGGCAGCCATCAGTCAGGCAGGGGCTCGCTCAGCCTGGAGCTCAGCTGGCCCAATCAGAGTCACCTGAGGTGGAGTGGGCAGGCAGATGTGCTCTACAAAGCAGATGCCAAAGAGGGAGGGAGGGAGGGACAGACAGATGGAGAGAGGGAGGGAGGAGAGGCGGGGAGGGAGGGAAAAAACCCTTTGAATCTCCAGGATAAAAAACAAACTAGTAGTAGCTGACAAAATGCTTAATTTCCCAAAACCAGGGCAGAGAAGAGAACAAGGTAGCGTGTGCATCTGTCCTGCTTTACCCTCGGCATCAAAATAGGACTGCAGAGATGAAAACAGAATAATGACACATAGGCTACGTCCAGATACTGAATCTCCAGGCATGCCCGAGAAGTCTGAAATGAGTAGGACTTCCCACAATGAGTCCTAATCTAGCAGGCCTCCATCTCTCTCTCTCTCTCTCTCTCTCTCTCTCTCTCTCTCTCTCTCTCTCTCACACACACACACACACACACACACGCAAACACACTGCAGCAATTTGGAGATTTGAAACTGACTTCTACAGGTTACCTGAGTTCACCCCACAAGGCCTCACTGGCTCACTGATGCCTCCTTCCAAATCCTGGAAGATGTTTACCTTCCTTGTTTCACCTTTGGTTGATCACCTAATTTCCGACAAGAACTTGCTAAAGCAGGGAAAAAATTACCAGGTTTTTCTCTTTAGTTCTGTTAGTTTCTAGATCTGGTTCTTAAAATGACACCTGGATAAGGTTAAGGTTTGGATCTGAAATGTCCCCAGAAGGCCATGTGTTGAAGGCTTGGGCCCCAGCCTGTGGCACTATGAGGAGGTGGTCTAACCTTTAGGAAGTGGGGTCTAGTAAGAGGAAGTTAGGTCCCTGGGTGGGGGGTGGTGTGCCCTTGAAGGGGATTGTGGGACCTTGGCCTCTTCCTCTGTTTCCTTGCCGCCCAGCTGCTATGAGGTGAGCAAGTGGCCTCCATCATGCACTTCTGCCTCATCACAGGCCCACAGCAACAGGGCCAAGTGGCAGTGAATGAAACCTCTGACATTATAAGCCAAAATAATCTTTCCTCCTTTTAAGTTATTATTTCAGGTATTTTGCCCTTGCAATGGAAAGCTGACTAACATAGATAATTTTATAAGGAGGGTACGTTAAAAAAAATCATGTCTGAGAAAGGGGAAGTGTATGTGGTAAAGAGGAAGTAATAAAAGGAAAAGCTGTGCACCAAAGGTTTGCATTTCTTTGTAACAAGATGAGCTGATGGTAGCTTTAACTGCGATAGTTTAAACAACTCATGTAGTGACTATCCCACCCATCCTTGCAAGCCTCATACCTGCACTGTGAGGGAGTGGGGACCCAACACATGGCTGGCGGTCACACCTTAGGGGATTCCATCTAATCATCACTGCACTGCATTTCTCAACTAAGACGGACTTTCAGAGAAAGAAACAGATTTTCCACACCCAGTAACCTGCCACAGTCACAAAGCTGGTAAGCAGCTGGGGGTTAATCCATACCAGGTCCATCAGAGCCTGATGCTGAGTTTTCCCTTCCACTACACATAAAGTCCCTGCGGTAGTAGCAAATGGTTATTCTGACTCACATCTTTCCCTGTCTGCCAAAGTCTCATAAACCTCTAAATAGATCAGTATCTTTTTTTTTTTTTTTTTTAAAACTATAGTTAACTGTTTTGTTTTCTGGCCTCAAACTTGCAATCCTCCTATCTCACAGCCTCTCTGGCTAAGATAATGAACTCTTTTTTTTTTTTTTGAAGTTCTGGGGATTGAACTCAGGGCTTTGTATTTGCTCTGCAAGCATTCTACCCCTTGAGCCAGGCCTCCAGCACCCAAGGTAGTTGACTCTGACTGCTGTGCCTCAGGATATACATGAAGCTGGTGGAGTGGCTCAAGCGGTTAAGAGTGCCTGCCTAGCAAGCATGAAGTCCTCAGTTCAAACCTCAGTACCCCCAGTACTGAATCAAAAAAAAAAAAAAAAACAAAACAAAAAATGCAGCTCAAGATATATATGAACAAAATGATAAATTCTTGAATGTATAAAATATTTCCATCATCTTTTAAAAATGACAATTTTTTTTTTTTGTAGTACTGGGGTTTGAACTTGCTAAGTAGGCTCACTTGAGCCACATCCCCAACCCGTTAGGCTTTACTAGTTTTTCAGATAGGGTCTTCCATTTTTGCCTGGGGCTGGTCTTCTGCTGCGATCCTACCACTTGGCTGGGATTGCAGGCACATACTACCATGCCCTGATTTTTGGGTGAGTGAGGTGCAGCTTGCTAACTTTTTGTACCAGCTGGCCTCAGACCTCAATCTTCCCCATCTCTGCCTCCCGAGTAGCCATGATTACAGGCCTGTACACCATCATATCCAGCCCACAAGAGTCTTAAGATTATTTATGTCCAGAAATCATAAAACAGGGAAGCCCAAGGAGATCACAACAATGGTGGTTTATGATTTGTCAAGACTCAGAAAGTTCTTTAGACAGAATTCTTCCTAATAGTGAGCTTGTCCTTCTACCACTCTGGCCAGTGCCAGACCCTCCTAAGGATAAGGCACATGAAAGGAAGGCAATGCATGGCTACCTCATGCAAACACACCTGAACTCAGCAGTGGCCGTAAAGGACTCATGCTCCGTGATTGAGAACACGAGCAGAAAGCCCTCCCCACTCCGGAAGTAGTTGTCACGAATGGCCGCATAGTCCTCCTGGCCAGCAGTGTCCAGAATATCTATCTGCACTTCTTCTCCGTCGAGAACCACTTTCTTTCTGTAACTGTCAGCTTTCGTGGGTTCATAGTCTTCTACAAACTGGGGGATAAACAGAGTCAGTGATTAAAGAATTTTAGGGGAAATAAAAGTTGCCAAAAAAAGCTATAGGTACCTTGCTTATCATCAACTAAATATTCATTGAGTGCCTACAATTACCACACTATGTATAAGGCACTATAAGATAAAAATAACACTTTAAAAACACTTCAATTTTTTTGTAGTGCTCTGTTCTACCATTTTTATTTTGGTTTTATTCAACAGGAGTAAATATCCCCATTTCACAGATGAGAAAACCAAGCCCAGGCAGGACACCTGGTGATGTTAACTCAGTACAGTATGCAATTATAAAACACACACTGCAAAGGGTGAGAAATGGGAGCTCTTGTGTATAACTGCCAGCAATACAAAAGTCACCTGAAGAATAATTTGGCAAGAGGCACCCAGGGGGTTGAATAAATGCATAAAAAACTCTACAAGATCATAAACTAATGCTAAAAATAAAACCACCCAAGTACTCAAAAAAACATAATGAAAACCTTTTATTACCTTGAAGTAGAGAAGGCCTTTTTTAACTATGACTCAAAATCCAGAAGCCATGGAAGGAAAAATTGATAAATTAGACTACATAAAAAAGTGAAAAAGAGAAAAACTTTGGCAAGGCACAACACACCATAAACAAAGCAAGTGGCAAACACAGGGAAAATATTTGAACCCATGTTAGAAAGCACTTATCACGCTAATATATAAGGAGTTCCTAGAAAATGGGGGAGGAGGGACACTATCAATCCAAGAGGGCAAGGTGGACAGTGGACATCCACAATTCATGAAACATAAATCCCGGGACACTACACACAGTAACAGAGGCTCCTCCTCACCAGTAAAAACTACATCACAGTATCATTTTCCACGTACCAGATGGCAAAATTCCAACGTCTGACAGTGTATTTGGGGACAGACACTGCACACTGCTAGTAAGCAGAGACAGGTCCATCTCTATGGGGAGGAATTCACCAACATCTGGTAAAACAAGAGAAGCACTTTACCCTCTGCTGCAGCTGTCCTTCTAGGAACGTAATCTCCCAAAAAGCCTGCGCAAGAACCTACAAATAATTCACCGCAGAACTGAGTGTAACTGCCACAGAGGAAGATCTGCCTGCACGCCTGGCAATAATTATCTATACAACAGAAAACACAGCTGCAGAAAATGAGGAATGTAACTATGTGCAGATATGGAGACCTCCAGAACTAAGAGTCTACCCTTCTGCACAAGGAAAGCAGGGACAGTATATGTGGGTATGTACACATACACACAAATACATATATGTACATACATACATGTATATGTACATATATATATGTGTTTGCCAAAAAAGACACTCTCAAAGGACAAACAGAACAAACTTAAAAGCTGTTAAACAGAAAATCTGAAGCAAGTGAGCCTACCCAAATATTTATTTGGTAATGAAAACACACAGAAAAAGAAAGAACTGAACTCACGAGACTTTAGAAGAGAGTATTTTGATAAAGTGCATCCAAGGACAAAAATAGTCAAGGAAACATTAAACTTCCCCTCTGCAGTTGTATTTAGTAAAAATATCAAAGCTGTTTCTTTTACGTTGTGTTATGTATCAAATGAGTGACTGTGGATGCTAAAATCAAGACGTTCAGAAAAGAACTATGCAAATGACAAAAATACTTTTAAAGACGAAATGGTGCTGGTGCAACAGGAGCCCCACTTCATACTACATACAAAAACTCACAATACATAAAGACCTAAGTACAAGAACTAAGACTATGCCAAAAAGAGGGTTGGATGGGCTGGTAAAGTGGCTCAAGTGGGAGAGTGCCTGTCTAGCAAGCATGAGGTCCTGAATTCAAACCCCAGTACCACCCGAAAAATTAATTAGTTAATTAATTAAAGAACTAAGTAAGACTATAGACTTTTAGAAAAAAACAGGTCTAAATCTTTATGACCTTGGGTTTGGCAATGAATTCTTAGATATCATACTAAAAGCACAAGCAACAAATAAGCAATAGATAAACTGAACGTCACTGAAATTTAAAACTTTCATACCCCAAAGGCCACTATCAAGACAGTGAGAACTGGGTGCCAGTGGCTCACGCCTGTAATCCTAGCTACTAAGGAGGCAGCGATCAGGATTTCGGTTTGAAGCCAGTCCTAGGGAAGTAGTTTGTGAGATTCTATCTCGAAAATATCCAACACAAAAAAGGGCTGGCAGAGTGGCTCAACTGGTAAAACACCTACCTAGCAAGCGTGAGGCTGAGTTCAGATTCCAGTACAACAAAAAAAGTGAAAAGTCAACCCAGAGAATGGGAGATAATTATAAATTCTATGTCTAAAAAGGAACTTATTTACAGAATATATAAAGAACTATTCAAAGTCAACAAGAAGAGAAATTAAACAATTAAAAGTAGGCAACGGGCTCTAAGGGCATACAGAGCATGTGGGACCCGGGCTCAAGCCCAGGACAGAGGGCACAAACGGACTAGGCTCTAAACCAACATTCCCCAGAGAGGTCCAGAATGGGCAACAGACACATGAAAAGACAGAATCATCCAGGCTTAGGAACTGTAAGTCAAAATCATAATGAAGTACAACTTCAAACCCATAGGATGGCTACAATAAAAAAAAATGTCAACAAGAAATGGTGACAAGGGTATGGAGAAAATGGAACCCTCCAACACTACTGGTGAGAGGCAAAATGGTTCTTCAAAGAGTTAAACACAGAGTTACCATGACTCATCAACTACATCTTAGATGTATATCCAAGGCGATTTAAAACACATGTACACATACATTCATAGCAACTTACTCATAACAGCCAAAATGCAGTAGCAATCCAAATGTCCATCAACTGATGAACAAACAAAATGTGGCACATACAGACAATGGATATTATTCAGACACAAAAAAGGAATGAAGTACTGAATCATGGTATAACGTGGATGAACCTTGTCAAATTATGGTAAGTAAAAGAAGTCAGACACAAAAGGCCACATATCATATGAACCTATTTATATGAAATGTCCAGCAAGGACAAATTTAGAGACAGAAAGTAGGTTAGTAGGTGGCCAGGCTGGAGGGACAGGGAATCAGATGTGACTGTTAATGGGGAGCTGTTTGAGTGACAAATGTGTTCTGGAGTTAGTGGTGGTGATGGCTGGACAACTTTGTTTATACTTTTATAAACACTAAACTACATACTCTAAAACAACAAATTTTATGTGAATTGTATCTCCAAATTTTTAAGTGCTGTTACATGCTACTGGGAGAACTTTCAAAACATAGCGCTTAGGGAAAGAAGCCATACATAAAGCCAACAGACTGTATGACCGCATTTCTAGAAGTGTCCAGAATAGCAAATACAGACAGACAGACAGAAAGTGGTTGCCACGGCTAGGGGAAGAGGAAGTCGTAATGGGAATGACTGTGTGAACATTAAAAATAAGCACAGAATCAAGGATTTTAGAAGAGTGAATTTCATGCTATATAAATAATACTTAAAGTTGTAACCTTTATTTATTTTTTGGGAGACTGGGCTTTGAACTCAGGGCTCCACACTTGCAAAGCAGGCACTCTACCGCTCAAGCCACGCCTCTAATCCATTTTGCTCTAGTCATTTTGGAGATGGGGTCTCGAACACCATTTGCTGGGCTGGTCTTGGACCTCGATCCTCCCCATCTCAGTCTCTTGAGTAGCTAGAATTACAGGCAAGAGCCACCAGCACCCGGCTAGTAACTTAACTTTTTTACTTAAAAAATAGATTCAAAATATGAACAGAATTTAGGGCCCTTTGAAGAACACTCCTAAAGAGAGCGTCGGATTGCCAATTAATGGCAATTAATTGAAATGATTTTAAATCTAAAAATAAAAGTCCTAAAATATTTTAATGCCAGGTTCTCTTAAACTCATCCTTATCTTCATATGAAGAAAATCTGAAAACTTGCCTATGCCTCACAGCAGTGTCCTTTAAACGCCTCTCCAAGGACAAATACATGACAAAAACAGACAAAACTTACCACCCTTTGCTCAAAATCTCTGTAAACCAAAACATCTGAACTGTGTGTCTTTGAGTTTCCCAGTGAAAGGCAGCCAAGGGCCACTGCTTTCTTTGACACTGAAGTCAGCACTCCCTGATGTGCCTGCATACCTCTGCACCAGGAGTTTGCTGACTTAACATTCCATCACAATGCCGACATTTTCACTTTTCAAACAGAAATAGGAAATCACCAAGGTCTTTGTCTCGGAGAACATGAACCATACTGTCAGCTGGCTTTGCAGAGCTGGGCGTTACTCAGTCTCTGATGGCAGGACTCCCTTCACCCAGACCCTTCACTATGTCTAAACTCACTTTTTGGGACTGACACTCTCAAGTAATATTGCTGAAGCAGCTTCATCCCCAGCCTCACCTGCCACAAATGGCAAAACACTAAAAGTCTTTGCTATAATTTGGATGTGAAATGTCCCGTAAGAGGCCGTGTGTTAACGGCTTCATCCCCAGTCTGTGGAGTACTAGAGGTGGTGACACTGTGAGGTGGCTGGTACCGTCTGCCACATGCTCCTGCCATGATGTGCTGCCTCAATTGGGCCCAGGAGACTATGATAAGCATGGTTTGAGAATAACTGCTAGGGTCTCCTCAAGCTCCAAAATGACAATTCTAGAACTCTCTTGTCCAATATGGTGGCCATGAGCTACATTTCAAGTGCACAACAGGCAACATGTTGAGCAGTATGGATATAGAACATTTTCATCATCACAGAAGGTTCTGTAGAGTGCTGTGCAGTCTTTATAAATTTCCCAGTCTCAGTTGCTCTGTGACAGCAGCAATAAGTGGACGAAGCCAGTGTCTAAAGGGATCCCCAGGAGGACGGGCAGCAGTGGGGCTGTCCTGGCTGGGGCAGAATGCTCAGCGGCATCCTTGGCCTCTACCCTCTACATGCCAGCTGTACCCTCCCTCTAGCTGTGACAACTAAAACTGGCTCCAGGCATTGTGGTACAGTCCTGCTGTAAACAAGATCCCCTCCCCCGCCAGTCCACCACCACCTTTTTAACACCATCTCTCTCACCCTAATTCTTCTCACTATTTTTCCCAGCCTGCTACAAAAACTTTTGATAAGCAAATTACAAGTTATTAAACAAAAACAAAAAAGAGTTCTGAAGCAGATTTCTCAACTTGCCTCTTTTTCTTTTAAGCAAAGCTGTTTTGGGTAAATTCAGCAGATTGTGCCAGACTGACTCCTGGTTTAAGATAAAGAGAAGCAGGCATCACCCCCAAAATCTTCTCATTAAAGCTATGGGAGGGGCGGTGGTATGATGCAGGGAGTCAGGAGCCTGCTGTTTATTTGGCAGACCCCTCCTTAAGATACAAAATTGAACAAAAGCAATCATGATCCACTATAAAGTTTCAACGACAGACACACTCAGGTGGGCCTCAGTGAGCCAGGCCCATGGGTATGCCCACACAGCATCAGGTCTCCCACTGACTACCTCCCTGGGTACCTCTGGTACACTTATACTACCCAATACAATGTACATGCTATGCAAACAGCTGTCATACTGTATTGTTGAGAGAATGATGACAAATGCAGCCCTTGTAGGTATAACTACATGCTCCATCCCTGCATTAAAATTTCCCAGCTGAGACCGGAAGGCCTCTTTTCAGTACTGGGATTTGAACTCAGGACCTCGTGCTTGGCTCTCAGCACTTGAGTTACACCCCCAGCCCAAGAGACTGGGAAAGTTTTAAAGATACAAAGGAAAGCTCTAAGACTCTGTCTTGGCTGACTAGAGCCTGACAAGTCTCCCTCTGGCCTTGCAGAAGCGAGCTGCCTATGAGCACAGGGCCGCATGGCAGGGAGCTATAGGCAAGCTGCAGAAGCAGAAGGCCTGTGTCTACATCTCAGAGAGCTGATCTCTGCCAGCAATCAGGGAGCATGGGAGAAATCTCTGAGCCTCCCAGAGATCACAGCCCTGCCCAACACCTAGACTAGAGCCTCACAGGACCCTGAGCAGAGGTCCAGCTAAGCCACACTCCAACTCCTGATCTGTGGGAACAATGATAAGAAACATATGCTGAATTACCTGCTAAATCTGAGGTCATTTGTTAGAAAACTAACACAAAAACCACTGGCATTGCACAATGTGGCAAAATAACATAACTTTTTTTTTTTTTTTTTTTGATGGTACTGGGGTTTGAATTCAGGTCCTCAAGATTGCTAGGCGGGTGCTTTACCACTTGAGCCATGCTCCCAGTCCTTTTTCTCTTTAGGGTCTCGCTTTCTGCCTGGGGCCAGCCTGGGGGATCCTCCTACCTTATGCCTCCCAAAGAGCTGGGATCACAGGCATCATGTGCTACCACACCTGGATTACTTGTTGAGATGGGGTCTCCCTAACACTTTGCCTAGGTTGGCCTCACACTGTGGTGCTCCTGATCTTCCACTTTCAGAGTAGCTGTATTTCAGGTGTGAGCCACTATGACCGGCCCTCAAAATAACATAGTACTTTTTATTAAGTAACTGTTTGATGTACCTCTAGAATACCATCTTCTTCTTCTTCTTTTTTTTTTTTTTTTGCTGTATAGTCTTATCTTGTATAACACCAATTACTGAAATATTTCCCATAGAGAACAAAAAATAAGTTAGACTTTCTTCCAGCATAATTGGTGGAAATTTCTCTTGTAGTGACAGTTTAGAAAAGTTATTTTCAGCTTCACAACTATGCAACATTACTAGTAATGGAGTTTCGGAACTATACTTGCTCCTCTGTTCAAGGGTCATATGTTTCACCACCCACATATGGAAACTGTTGGAAAAAATCCTGCATGTGTACCGAACATGTGTAGACATTTCCTCGTCATCATTCCCCAAATAATACAGCATAAAAATTTACATTGTATTAGGTATTACAGGTATACTAGAGCAAGGAGGGCACTGGTGGCTCACGCCTATATTTCACGCAGTTCAAGGCCAGCTTGAACAAAAAGAGCTTGTGCATCTCCATCTCAATGGAAAAAAGCTTCCCAGCTATGGCAGGAAGTGTAAAATAGAAGGAATGAGGTCCAGGCTGGCCCGGGCAAAAAGCAAGACTCTATTTCCAAAATAAACCAGAGCAAAAAGGGTTGATGGAATGGCTAAGCAGTATGGTGCCTTCTTAGCAAGCATGAAGTCCAAAATAAAATAGAATAAGATAAAAATAAGTATACTAGGGAAGATTTAAAATACATGAGACTATACAAAAGGTATAAAAGTTCATATGCAAACACACCATTTTCTATGAGGGCCGTGAGCACTGTGGGTTTTGGCATCTGTGGGAGTCCTAGAATCAACCCTTCACAGATACACAGGGACGACAACTACCACCCTAGAAACCTCTACCAAGCTTCACTGTGAGAAGGTGCAAGGTCTGGAAGAATTTTCCAGAGTAACTTCTAGCTCCACACATTTCTCCCCTTGTTTTGCCTCCTCTTCCCCCACACTTCACAGCTACAGGTGCCTTAGGACACATTCATACCGGGATCCACCCTGGCCCTGCACTCGTCCCCATGCTGGCGAATCAGCAGTGGGCGGTAGGAAGACTCCTACAGTAGCAGCAACTTAACCACACTGAAGTGACTCCAAGCCACACATGTCTACCACTATCTCTCAACTAACCTTTACCCTCCCCTAGATGAGGACCTAGTCAAGGCCCCTCCAACGGCACATCATAGGAAGTAGGACCTGCAGAAGTCTACTGGGAAGAGAGCTGTCTTCACCGCCTACAATTCCGGCACCATCCTCTGGCAATTTCACAGCGCATGCATCTGAATGGAAGCCATGCACAAGATAGGTCCTGAAGTATAAATTCCATTCAACTCAGCACTTCCTCTGCCTCAAGTTCCAGCAAATGGCTGCGCAGCAGCGGCTCTGATTGCCACAAGAATCAAGGCTGTGCTGTCACCCTGAACTTAGTCAGTTTCTACATTAAGAAAGTAATGTCAAATTTCAGCAAGAATGGTGCAAGCTTTACCTTGCTGCATGGAGAATTAGGAAGAACTTGATGTCTATCACCTGGGAAAAGATTAGGTTCTATGAAAACTCAGTTCCCTTTCCTTCTCTCCCAAAATTGACTAATCACAAAGCGAGGTATATGACATGTTCTTTTTTTTTTTTTTTTTCATTTTTCTTTTATTATTCATATGTGCATACAAGGCTTGGTTCATTTATGACATGTTCTTTAGAAATGTTTGTTGTGGGGCTAGGTGTGGTAGTACACACCTATGTGGGAGGGGTAGGCAAGAGGATTGTGGTGTGATACCCTACCTGAAAAATAGCTATAGCAAGAAAGGCTAGGGCATGGCTCAAGCAATAGAGCACCTGCCTAGCAAGCACAAAGAAATACCTGTTGTTTAATCACTTTCTATTACTGTGACAAAATACCTAAGATAATCAGCTTAAAAGAGGAAAGGTTTACCAGGCTGGAGGTAGGTGTGGCTCAAATGGTAGAGCGCCTTCCTAGCAAGTGTGAAGCCTTGAATTCAAATGCCAGAAGGCCAAAAAAAAAAGAGGAAAGGTTTATTTCTGGCTCATGGTTTTCAGAGGTCTCAGCCCATGGTTGGTAGGTCCTGTTGCTTTTTCCCTGTGGCAGCACAGCACATCATGGTGGGAACACATGGCAGAAGTTGCTCACCATATGGTGGTAGGGAAGCAAACAAGGAAATAGGAAGGGGCCAGAATCCCAATATCCCCTTCAAGGACACCACCCCCAGTAACCTAACTTCCTCCCACTAGGCCATACCTCCCTCAAGGTCCCACTTCCTCCCAACAGTATCACAAGCTGACAACCAAGCGTTCAACACATGGCCTTTGGGAGGCATTCAAGATCCAAACTATAGCACCTCTCTAAAGTCTCTCTCGCCTCCTTGCTCCTGTCACAAAGAAAGCTCAAAGAACCACAAAGGAAATCAACAACCTGGAACGTTCACTGTGCCTCCACCCTCGCTCAACCCTGAAAGCTATTCAGAAACTAACTTGATACAAATTTGCTCTATTAACCCCTATGCACTTGGGAGACAGGCACAGAAACACAGCTGAAGCAGGGACATCCACAGCAGAATTAGTCATGCAGGCAGTCCATGTTGCCACCTTACCTCATCATACATGAACTGAAGCGTCAGGGCCGACTTGCCAACCCCCCCACTGCCAACCATGATGACCTTGTGAAGAGCCAAGGAGCTCTGGCCCTTCGTCTTGTTTGCAGCCATTCTGCTGGTTCTCTGAGGTGGTGACACACAGATAGAAGACCCAGTAGGACAGCTGCCAATGACAAAAACAGAGATTTAGAGACAGTGTGCTTTCTACCCAAGAGAAACCAAATGACATCCCAACACTTTAGGAAAGCCTAACCCAGACATTCCAACAGAGAAGGAATGCTTCCAGGCTCTGAGTGGAGATAAAACCCCTCCAACCACTCTAGAAGTCACTTACCCCAGCACAGCCAGGGCTGGAACAAAGTCAAGACGACACAGATATTCTCATATCATATATCACATATATCATATCTCATATCACATCCCCACGGGAGAGGAGAGGAAGTGCTTTGTGTGTGTGTGTGTGTGTGTGTGTGTGTGTGTGTATCACTGGGGTTTGAACTCAGGGCCTCACGTTGGCTAGGCAGGCACTCTTATTACCACTTGAGCCACTCCACCAGCCCAACCCTGTTGCTAAAAATCAACACATCCTCCCAGGGCTTCATGGAGGGACCAAAGGGCAATGAGTCCCATTCCCTCCACTCCCCCAAGTCACCTGGTGCTCGGGAACCTCAATCTCCAGCTTTTCATTCTTCTTCCTCTCGTTTGTATTCCTCTACACACACACACACACACACACAGATCCACATACTCTCTCACACTCAGTCGTACCACACTCACACATACATACTCACTGCTCTCCACCTGGATTAAAGAGGTGAGCTGAAGAGGGACAACTAAATGTATTTTTTATATTGAGTACCCCTTCATGACACAGGACATAATTATTTACTCCAGGTTTATTTAAAGGAATAAACTAAGTTCAACTATTTTTAAAATAACAATTAGTCAAAGTCAGTTTGCCCTCTTCAGAGATAAGTAGAGCAACCCTGGAAATAATTTAACAGATACCCAGAACCTGTTCTAACCCAAGTGCTAGTCTTTCATCAATCTGTATGTGGAAAACCCTCTCTATTTCACATACACCTCAGCAAATGGAGGAAGAACAGGGCTTCGCTGACTTGTGGACCCAAGTCTGGTTCTATCATTCACAAGCTGTGTGACCTAGAAGTGGTTATTCAGTTTCTCCAAGCTAGTTTTCTTATCTGCAAAGACAAATCACTACTTGGCAGGATGGCTTGAGGATTAAATGAGAAAACAGATATAAAAGGCCTCAGCACAGGGCTGTGCACACAATAGGGATGTAACAAAGGTTGGCTGCTTCCTGTCCACATTTAAGAGATGTTTTTCTAACTACATGATGAGGTCTTATTTCCATTGTTGCTGACAAGTTAAAAACACCTCCTAAAAAAATAAAACATAACACACAAATGATTGGGTAAAATAGGACATGGTCTTGAGTCAGTGGTTCCTCCTGGCTGCACGACAGAATCACCTGGAGCTTTACCACCTCTTGGCTGCCGTCCCACCCTAGAGATTCTGATTGGGCTGGCATGGAACTACTCAAGGTAATTCTAACCGGCAGCCAGGGCTGAGCACTGTTCTTCGGCTCTTCGATGCACAATTGAGCTCCACGGAGAGGAAGAAATGCCCACACTAAGGGAGGGGGCTCAGAGCAGTAAGAGTTGCTGACTCTGCAGTCCTGGGTGGTTGCTGCTCTTAGTAAATACTTCTGATTACACACACACACACTAGGAGACCTGAGACCCGCACAGAAGGGAGTTAGAATTGAGAGCTGAGAAGCAAAGACTTTGCAGGAGCACATCATTAGGTAAACAGTGCACTAGAAACACCCGTGTCCACCAACAGGGAACATGACAAAAATGCTTATCTGCCTGAGCCCCAGCTGTATGGAAGTTTTCCCTAAAAATCTGTAACCCGACACTCCTCCAAAACCAAGAAATTAATGTGCAAAGTGGCCCCAGACTGGAGCCTCCAGGCAGAGTGCTCCACAACACCTCTCTAGAGAAGCTAGGCAATAACCCATCTCAGGACTCTCCCAGCTAAAGCCCATGGTCCCAGTTTCCAACACCTGAGAAAACCACCATACAAAACAAGCCGACTCCTCAGACAGGTACTGCACGAAGATCATGCGATCAGTTCTAACAAAGACAAAAGCAACATCTGAGCACACTAACTATCAAATGATCAGATGGAGTTATACAAGAACCACTCTGAAGTTTTAAGCATTTAAAATGAAAAGTTATGATACTGTGGCAAATTTACAAAACACACAAAAAACGTTTTTCAAAAAGTCACCTGAGACTCTGTCACTTAGAGATGTTCACTATTGATTGTGCACTTTCTGCCAGTATTTTAATCTGTTTATTCTATTCCTATGCTTAAAATCTGCTTGAGGTCATTTATGCAGTTTTGCAAATGACTTTTCATACACTATTTCTGTTTTCTGAAAGAGGCAGAGTGAACATAATTCAGCCCTTTCTTGGTGACTTAAGGCTCCCCAGCACCAACGTCAGCTGTGTGAATGGCCTTGGGCTGCTCCAAGTCAAGGTCGCAGGTCTGCTCATCTGCTCTTCTCATCCTTCCTCCTCACCACGGTATACCTGCCTACACCACAAACTCACTCCACTCTGACTTTGCTAATTATGTGCTCTTTAATACCCACGCTAAGCAGTTAACTAGATACTGAAGCTCATCTGAACTGGGACTAAAACAGAATAAGCTAGGCAGGGCTCCTACAAGGCTCCTACAAGGCTCCAGTTTAGACGCTGAGAACCACTTGCTGCCTCATTTCCAGCCCCGCACTATTCCTATAGCGGAGGCTGGCGAATGGGGGTGCAGACCACCAATCTGCCCTACAACTCCTCTAAGGCAACCTTGTTTCTCTGAACTGTAAGAAAATGGACAAATCTTTTCCCAGGCTGCGGTAGGGGTCCTTTCAAACACTGTTGGCATCTAATTCTGAACAGCTTTTCAAAAAAAACAGTCAATTCCTCTAGAAGAAATGATCATAAATGACAGCTGTCCAACATTAATTGAAGGCCAAGAAATTTGTGCTCTAAGTCCAAAAACGGAAATGACCACAGGGGAGACTTACAATGCCACGGCTTCAGCCAACTTGGCACAATGAGGGGAAGGCCAGGAGCAAGGTAGAGGTGGCAGTCAAGTGCCCCTCACTGAATCACTCTGGGAAATGCTGACCTCCAGGCTCCTGGCATTAGAGATAACAAACTTTAATTGTTTAAGCCATAGAGAGTCTATTTATTATCGCTGGTTTTGTTCTTACTTATATCTCCAAACATTCCACAAACATAGTGTTAACCCTTAAGAAACTGAAAGTCTAGTGGTTCAAACAAATCAGTAAGTGATGACAGCACAGGGTAACAAATTCTGTGGCATAGATACTGCAGGGGTGCACAGAGAAGACATCCAAATCAACTGATGTTCAGGGGCGTTTCCTGGAGAGAGCAACATATGAACTAAGGTTTGAAGTAGTTAACTAAAGAGAGGAGAAACAGCAGGAAGAAAGAACATCAGTGAAGCACAGGAATTCATGTTCATGATTTATGTTAGTAATGGATATGCCTAGCCAATCTTTTGTTTTTGTCTTTTGAGATGGATCTCACTATGTAGCCCAGGCAGGCCTTGAATTTGTGATCTCCTGCCTCAGCTTCCTGAGTACTGGGATTATAGATGTGCACCACCAAGACCAGCCAGTAAATGTATTCTTTAAAAAAAAAAAAAAACTGGAGCACCTAAGCATGAAGCCCTAAGTTCAAACCCCAGTCCCCCCAAAAAAAAAGACCCAAAATCCCCAACAGTTTATTCTGAAAAGTTTCAAACACTCAGAGAAGTTTAAAGAAACTTACAGTGAACCCACCACCTGGATTCTACAGTACACATTTTGCTCCAACCCATTCACCTATTATCCCTCATCTACTCACTGTACTGTAAACAAACAAAAACTGAAAAAGAATCAGGAAAGTTCCAAAGTTGAGTAAAGGTCCTCTCAGCTCAGCAAATGGGGGGTGGGAGGGGAGCATTCCAGCCTGATAGAAGAGTGTGCAAAGAGGTAGGAAAAAAAGGTCAGAGCAGCCAGGTGTTGTATAATACTAAAGCGTAAGGTATGGGGGTGAATGACTGAAGATGAGTCTCGAAAGCTAGATCTGTCCGTCCATCCATGAATGGGCTGAAAATACCATCATAAGAGACTCATATTCGTGCTAGAGAAAACAAGGAATGTTTGCAGGTTATGTCCTCTAGCTCAACACAGCTGAGGACAAATAAAGAAAAAGAAGACACTCGAACTAAGATTGTTCACTTAGACAGCTTCGGGAGGAGGCAAGCGAGTTAGGAAATGGTTTTACCACATAACATTCTATGACACAGTAATAGCAATTAGGGCACTTGACCACCTAACAAGAAGTCAAATACCGAAACACGTATTTTCATGAGACGTAAACTAGTTTTGTTTTGGGTATGTGTACGGGTGTGTGTGTGGTGTGTTTTGAAACAGGGTCTCACTATGTTGCCCAGGCTGGTCTCAAACTTCTTTCTGCCTTTGCCTCCTGAGTAGCCGGGACTTTATGGGTACACCACTGTGTCTGGTTGTGAATGTATTCTGAAAAGAAATCACAGCATATAAAAAAGCAGAATGTGTGTTAGAAGGGATGGTTGCTAGTGAGCATTAGTCCTTTGCTACACTTAAATAAGGAAGAAGTGGGCTGGGAAGGAGAGTCCAGATGCCACTTCTCCTGTATCACAGGACTGACTATCATGAAAATCAAGGACAATCTGAAAACCCAAGGGAAGCTCATCTCCCAGGCCCCCTCATAAAATTCAGTGTCCTAGAGAACATGGCACTTGAACGCATACTGTACATGCACAGAATTGCCTTCAGGATTCTTCTCCAGGTAACATAAATCGAAGGTGACCTACATGTTATTGATAGGCTGTAATCATAATATTTGAATCTCCCAAAATATTGTCCATGTTTGTAATCCTTCAAAAAGGATGGCAAGCCTAAATCGGAGACAATTTAAGCACCCAAATAATAAAGACAGTGTTGTGGCTTATATATGAAGGGTCCCCTGAAAGCTCAATGTGTTGAAGGCTTGGTCCTCAATGCGATGTTCAGAGATGGGGCTTTGGGGAAGTGATTGATCACAAGGGCTCTGATCTAATCAATGGTTTAATTCATTGATGGATTCATACTTGGATGGCCATTACTGGAAAGTGGTGAAAGGCAGGA